GCTGCCACGATATATATATATATATATATACACATTTATCATGATAAGATCTAGTTTTACAATAACTTTTTTGATAAATTTGTATGATAGAGATGTAAACTACGCTAGTCTATTAATGTTGTATTCTCTCAAGTAAGAAACAAAAATTCATAAAATCTATTATTATCCTAATTATCATTATTATTTTTATTTGTTTCAGATTTCTAATCAAATATTATAAAATGTATTAAATCACATGAAAATGAAACTGAAATTAAGCACTCTCTCAAATTATTATAGTTTCTATCATACATTAGGGCTAGGATTTACCTTCAGTAGAAATAACAGATATGCACGATAAACTATCATTGAGCTCTAGTCCAATTTGATCGATTCACTCAAAATTGATCGATACAATTTTAGCCCTGTCATTCATGTCCACGCACGCCATGTGCAATCATATGCCCGCTTTGATTTCTCTATAGCCATTACTTTTGCTTGAGGTCGATTTATGTTGTAATGCCTCTACTTGAGCTGATCGGTACTACATGCAAGATGCCCGTCTTCTCCCTATTCATGCAAACCTTCTGTGAGCATGCTCAACTTGATTTCTGCTTTGTCGCTTTTGTTTGTGAGTTTTTCGTAGGACACTGATTGTGGCCACACTCTCTTGGTCTCGCCTTGTCACCCACCTTCGCCACTTGCTCTGGTCTCCGCCTTCTCTCACATTTGCTCCTTTGAAAGGAAAAATTGTTCAGCTTCAATAGTAGATTTCGTTCCGGCTTAAATGATGAACAAACAAATGAGGTTCACCCCTTTTGATTTTTAAAAATGTGGTATTACACAACAAGCTCATTTGATTTAAACAAAGATAAATAATTGATCTTAGCAATGCCAATTGCCATTGTTATCTTATCAAGAGATGAAAGCTAAATTCTATTTAGACAATATGTAACCAAATGATGCAGGTTGGCTTTTGGATAGTTAGTTCGGGGAGGGGAATGTGGCAGAAATAGAATAAATTCAATGCATTGGAAGCTTAACGTGTCGGGAAATCCAAAAACGAATCAGATTGGACGCGCAACTTAATTATTGAAGGACACTGGTATGGTTTATTTCTTAAAATTTAAAATTTCATGTTATGACTAGGCCCGGGTCATGGAATTAACCAGGACAGGTATAAACGGTGAGACAATGGGAATTAAAATTTTTATATTCATTTAACATGTAACAAATAAAAGTGTCACTAATCAAATTAAATTAAAGCAGAAAAATTAAATTTACCTCATTACAGATTGTCTGCGTTTTCTATAAATATTCTCTTCTATTATTTATTTTTTAAACAATTAAATTAACCAGAAAAACTAGTTTCTTTCTTTCATCTTTTAATCAATTAAATTAATCGATTTTTTTTTTAAATATAAGTGAGCTCAACAAGATAGTGAATACTCGTACTTTTAAACTACAATAATACTAAAGAAAAGAAAATTAATATGAATGTCAGTTAAGCTTTTACTAAATTAATGTAAATATTTGATGCTATTTAATGAATATTACTATATCAATAGTGCATCTATATTATTTTATATCCATACAATTGTCACAGTAATAGTATTTATTATTATCTCTTTTAAGATACTTTAATACCAATATTCTTTTCCATTGTGTACGAGTATTTTAGCATTCTTCTGCTAGTACCAGAAATGGGTGACTCCATACCCAGTCATGTACATACAAGCAGCCGATATAAATATATCATTCATGTGCTCATTGTATTTAATTTAATATACTATATATAGTAAGTAGCTATAAATATTCATAATAATGTGGCCAATAAATGAAATAACGTATAAATGAAAATAAAACTTGTACAAGTATCGTTATCCACTAATGCAAAGTAGTGGAGAACCAAAATATTATCATAGATTAAGAATACAAGAAATCATCTTGATCTCAATTCATTTTTTATTTAATCTACCCTAACGTTGACTTTTCTAAGTCAAAACCTAATATAAGAATGATATTCTTATTACTAAAATTTTATTTATTTATTATGTTATTACATACATACAAATTTAATTAATGTAATATTTTAATAAACCATTAACTTATTATTATTTAAGTAATAAATTTTTATTATTTTATGTTATGTAATCTTAATGATATATATATATATACACACACACACACATATATTTTATATATGTATAAAATTCTCATTAAATATTATACTATTTAAAACTCACATTTATATCTTTTTCAATCGAGCCCCAAACAACACATGCAGTCCCTTTGCGCACGAGAGGGCTTTAGCTTTGGCTTCCTAATGCACAAGCTTCCTCTGCTACTATGGTTAATGACTTTTTCCTCGCCTTCTTTACAGCGCACGAGAGTTCCACTATAGATGCCGCAACATCTCTTTAACTCCTTCGATCGAACTCGACACCGACGCCGACTCCTCTATTATGCTCAAGCCTCCCATGTCGCCGCCTTCTTCCTCTTCTCTTTTACGAGGGCTGGTTAAGGTACAGTCTAGTGCCATAACGTGTAGTTCTTCCCTTCTGTTTCCTTTCTTTTGCGAGCATCGCATCGCTGCACTAGCTTGCTCGACACAACAGGTAAGTCAACTGCGACAGTTTATAGAGCAAACTTCACCTCCTTAGCTTCCTGAAACTCCTCGCTTTATTTCCCCCTTCTTCGGCTGCCCAACTGCTCACTTATTCTTGTTCTTCAATTTTTGACTTGCCTTATCTTTCCGCCTTTTGGTTCCTCTCGGGCAAAAAAGGCATCACATTTCATTGGTGTGATAATT